ACGGAGACGCGCAAGTTGTCGGGCTTCTTCGGCGCGTTGAAGGTACTCGCTCACATCGAGGTTTTCTTCGTCGGTGACGTTGGGTAACATGGCATCGAGCGTCGTTGCCGGGCTCCTTCCGTAGACCAATTTGTATGGAGATATCTGCGTCGTCTCCTGCACCGCCGTGTTGTATGCGAAGGTCACATACGGAAGAATGGCGTCCCACGTCTTGTGTTCGACACCGGCGTACATTGACAGCATGTCGGCGATCGTCTTGTTAAGCCGCTCGGTGAGGCCGTTGGTCTGTGGGTGGTACGCTGTCGTCCGGCGGTGGTTTGTTTGGCTGTATGCCAAGATCGCTTGAGTTAAGTCGGCAGTGAATGCCGTTCCTCTGTCGGTGATAAGGACCTCCGAGGCGCCGTGACGTAGGACGATATTTTCGACGAAGAACTTAGCTACCTCGGATGCACTGCCTTTTGGCAGGGCTTTTGTCTCGGCGTAGCTGGTGAGGTAGTCGGTAGCTACCACGATCCACGTGTTTCCGAAAGCCGACGTAGGGAACGGCCCCAGTAGGTCCATACTAATCTGCTGGAAAGGTCGGCAAGGTGGATCAATTGGCTGCAGAAGTCCCGCTGGCCTTGTAGGCGGTGTCTTGCGTCGCTAACAGTCCCGGCATGTCCTCACATAACGAGTGACGTCGGTGGTAAGACGTGGCCAGTAGTACCTTTCTTGTATCCTCGCGAGCGTGCGAGAAACACCGAGGTGCCCTGCCGTCGGATCGTCGTGCAGGGGCTGCAAGAGTTCTGGTCGCAGGGCTGAAGGCACCAAAAGGAGGTACTTAGCTCGAAGCGGTGAAAAGTTTTTCTTTTGTAGAAGACTGTTTCGTAGAAAGAACGACGCAAGTGCGCGCTTGAATACCTTCGGGACTTCGGCGGTCCTGCCTTCGAGGTATTCTATTAGGGCCTAAAGTTCCGGGTGGGCCCGCTGTCGTTCAGCGAAGTCATCGGTAGTTATCGTTCCCAAGAAGTACTCGTCATCCGGGTCGTCGGGTAGCGGTTGGTCGACAGGCGCACGAGAGAGACAGTCGGCGTCGGAGTGTTTTTTGCCGGACTTGTAAATGACAGTAATGTCATATTCTTGAAGTCTCAGGCTCCATCGTGCGAGGCGACCTGAAGGGTCCTTCAAGGTGGCTAGCCAACACAACGCGTGGGGGTCGCTCACAACTTTGAAGGGCCTGCCGTAGAGGTAGGGGCGAAATTTCGACGTAGCCCAGATGATGGCGAGGCACTCCTTTTCTGTTGTGGAATAATTTACTTCTGCTTTGGATAGCGATCGGCTGGCGTAACTTATAAGCCTTTCAAGTCCGTCAGCCCTCTGCACAATAACGGCGCCAAGACCTACGCTGCTTGCGTCAGTATGTATTTCTGTCTCGGCAAATTCGTCGAAATGAGCAAGTAACGGAGGCGTCTGGAGGCGATGTTTTAGCTCCTGGAAAGCGTGTTCCTGTGGCGTTTCCCACTTGAGCTCCACGTAGGCCTTGGTAAGGTAAGTGAGAGGATCGGCGATGCGGGCGAAGTTTTTCACGAACCACCTATAATAGGTGCACAGGCCCAGAAATCAGCGCACCGCCTTCTTGTCAGTGGGCGGCGAGAAGTCGGCGGTGGCGGCTGTTTTCCATGGATCGGGACGAACTCCAGACTTGCTGATAACGTGCCCCAGAAACAAGAGCTCCTCGTACGCAAATCTGCACTTTTCTGGCTTCAGTGTGAGTCCGGACGTCTTGATGGCTTGAAGTACAGCTTCAAGGCGCCGAAGATGCTCGTCGAAACTCGAGGAGAACACGACGACGTCGTCCAAGTACACAAGGCAAGTCTGCCACTTCAATCCTGCCAGTACTGTATCCATAACGCGTTGAAAAGTTGCAGGCGCTGAGCAAAGGCCGAAGGGCATCACCTTAAACTCGAAGAGGCCATCCGGTGTTATAAACGCCGTCTTCTCTCGGTCTATTTCGTCGACTTCAATTTGTCAATAGCCAGTCTTGAGGTCCATTGACGAAAAGTACTTGGCGTTATGAAGCCGATCAAGTGCGTCGTCTATTCGTGGGAGAGGATACACGTCCTTTCTTGTGATTTTGTTCAGGAGGCGATAATCGACGCAGAAACGTAGGGTCCCATCCTTTTTCTTCACTAACACCGCGGGGGATGCCCACGGACTCTTGGACGGCTGGATAATGTCATCCCGCAGCATTTCATCAACTTGTCTCTTCATGGCCTCACGTTCTCGCGTCGAAACCCTGTACGGACTCTGACGGAGTGGTCTGACATTTTCTTCGGTTATTATGCGAAGTTTTGTGATTGGGGTTTGCCGAATTTTCGATGACGACGAAAAGCAATCTTCGTATTGCAGGAGCAGGGCCTTGAGCTGTTCTTGCTTATCGTTCGGAAGTCTGGGATTGACGTCGAAAGTTATGGGAGGGGCTTGGTTCCTCTGAGCAGGTTCCGCAGAACCGGCGAGGGCGAAAGCACTGGTGGCTTCGACAATTTCTTCGATGTATGCGACCGTTGTTCCTTTGTTCACATGTTTGTACTCATTGCTGAAATTCGTGAGCATAACCGTTGCTTTGCCTCCCCGCAGCTCTGCAATTCCTCTTGCGACGCAAATATTTCGGGTGACCAACAGATGCAGACTGCCTTCAACGACGCCATCCAAGTCAGGTGATTTAGGAGCGCCGACTGAAATAATGACGCTTGAGTGAGGCGTAATGGTGACTTGTTCTTCCAGCACATTCAAGGCATGGTGTCCTGACGGCGTGCGCGGCGGTAGTGCTTCTTCTGTGGATAACGTTATCGACTTTGTTTTTAGGTTGATGACAGCACCATGGAGGCATAAGAAATCCATGCCAAGGATGACATCTCTCGAGCAACGCTGTAGGACTACGAAGTCTGTAGGATAAATACGGCCATTAATGGTGACTCTCGCTGTGCAGATTCCTGCAGGCGTTACGAGATGACCTCCGGCTGTGCGGATTTCAGGGCCTTTCCAAGCTGTCCTAACTTCCTTTAACTTCGCGGCGAATGACCCACTGATGACAGAATAGTCGGCTCCAGTATCGACGAGAGCAGTCACACTGTGGCCGTCGATAAGAACGTCGAGGTCGCTAGTTCGCCGTCTCGCATTACTGTTAGGGCGTGGCGTTAGGTCACGGCTGCGTCGGCTTGTTCCGCTGCTTCCATGTTGCGTCGTCAGGCCACCTTCGGTAAGTGAGCTTTCGCCGTCAGGGCTTTGCCTGGTAGGCGTTGTGTTCGGAAAGCTCCGTCGCGGCGTCGTCGTCGGAGGAGGATCTTCGGTAGTTCGTCGCACAGCAACCGCACCTCCACTGGTTGCTGCCCTTAGTTTCCCGGATACGGGCTAGGAGACCGGCCCCGCGTTGGGCCGGAGAACTGCCGGGGGTGCGGTGACATGCGGCGGCTGGGCGACGGCGAACGGGAAGGACTTCGTGGTGTCCATTGAGTTCCTGTCAGGTAGTCGGCGATGTCACGTGGCCGTTCCTCTGGCTGCGGAAGTGGTGCATTGACGGCGAAGCCACGCAGTCCCATCTGTCGGTACTGGCAACGGCGGTAAGTGTGCCCGGCCTCGCCGCAGTGGTAGCACAGTGGGCGGTGGTCAGGGGTGCGCCAAACGTCGGTTTTCCTCGGCGCACTGCGCTGGCCCGCTGGCGAACGGTAGGTCGTCGGTGGGGTGGTGGCGGCGGTGGTGTCTGGCGACGCAAGTGCGACGGGGCGGCGTTTTGGCGTGGACGGGGAGGAGCGTTGTGGCGCACTGCAGCGGCGTAGCTCATAGTTTCTGGCTTGGGTAGCGGTGTTTGGGGAATTCGAAGCGATTGCCGAACTTCTCGCACAATGTCGGCGATCGAATCCACTTGAGGTTGCGCCGAAGGCAACAGTTTGCGCAGCTCTTCCCGCACGATCGTTCGGATCGTTTCACGCAGGTTTTCGGAGTCACTGGCTTGAGCAGCAGCGCATTCTAGAGTCAGGCGACGATTATACTGTCTGGTGCGCATGTCCAGGGTTTTTTCGATGGTGGTCGCCTCGGATACAAATTCTTGGACGGTGTTCGGTGGATTCCTCATTAGTCCCGCGAAGAGCTCCTGTTTGACCCCTCGCATGAGGAAACGAACTTTATTCTTCTCAGGCATGTCTGGGTCAGCGTCACGAAATCGGCGGGTCATCTCCTCTGTGAAAATTCCAACCTTTTCGTTTGGTAGCTGAACCCGGGTCTCTAGTAGAGCAGCGGCCCTCTCATTGCGAGCGACGCTCGCAAACGTTTGCAGAAATGCGCCGCAGAAGACATCCTACGTTCGGAGCGTGGACTCCCGATTAACTAGCCAGGTCCTTGTGGTGTCTTCTAGGTAGAAGTACACACGACGGAGCTTTTCTTCGTTGCCCAGTGGTTCAGGGTGGCCACACGGTCGTATGTTTCTAGCCAGGTTTCCGGGTCTTCAAACGATGACCCATGAAACGTTGGTGGTTCCCATGAAACGTGGCAATATGAAACGTGGCAGGGGAAGAACTCTGTAACTGAATGGAAGGTACGAAAGACACAAGGATGACGTATGACTACTGCTGGAACACGCCGTCAAGTTTTCCGCATGCCTTGACAAGATAAAAGGAGCCAATTTTCGGACAATAGACGATTCGCATGGTTTACGGGGACATGTTCCTTGGACGAAAGCCTCTGGATGCACGAATTTCGAGACCGTACCTTTTGTCGGTGAGTAGCTCACAGAAGAACCACAGATTGGGGGGAGGTGCAGTATGGTACGTTATTATCAATGTTTCAGTTTTCTATATATGTTTTTTTTCTTGCTTTCGTTTATGGATGACCTTGTTTCTTACGCTCACGAACTTATATAAATGAAGTAGTTGAAGTAATATATACCTCAACCTTTTCACAGGAAGCCAGTTAGAACAGAAGAGAACAGAGATAACGTGTGAGCTGCCACGACGTCTTTGCCGTACCCGTTCTGGGTCCAGTAGATGTCTGGTCGGGGTTGTCCTTCTGCCTTGCACGTCAGGTTGGCGGGTTCACCTAACTCCACTTCTTGGGGTTGTGGCTCTTGCACAATGCGTGGCCTCTCTGGGGTAGGGAAGCATTTTTAGAATACTAAGTGTTTGTCAATGTGGCCTCTAATGGAGACAAACATATGAAGTCATAGCATACACCAGAATGAACACTATGAATGACAAGAGAACCACTTTTTGGATGTTGCACAAGGACGAGAACAGGGATAGAAGCGCGCAGCAGTTGGCCTACAAAAAAGGAGTTTATATATTGCAAATAAAACCATAATGTTACAACCATCTCACGGCACGATGCACTGCCGCTAAGCACCATGTGTCAACTCACGTTCTGCGTGCCTTCATAGCGAGTTGAAGGAAGTAAAATATGCATTAGCCTAACTTTATATGATTGAGACAGGAAAAAAATTGTCATTCTTGAAACCTTGTTCAACGTTCCAAGCAGGACCGAACACTTCAGAGAGTTATTACAGACGAAAGGCCACCACTACTATGAGATTCAGGCACAGTATGCACACCACATCAATCGAGCGATACGCAATAACCTGCTTGAACATGTACATTTCGCACAATTAGCTGTGCAATACGTATCTCAAATAAATCGCGTGACTTTCGAAGTAAACTCCTGTACTCTATTTCATAAATTCACATATCAAATAAGACTTTTTCTACTGAACATAATGCACAATTGAATAAGGAACCGTTGTAACATAATGCGAATCCATGTGATCACACAATTTTACATTTAACATTCTTGTATTTTTTGTGCGCACTTTCAAAGATGTTACCTATTTGTATTGACTGTTCCCATACCTCTTTTTTTCTTCTTTTGCAAAACATTTACATTACTTTAAAATATCAAATAATGCAGGTCTTTGAGCTCTAATTCCTGCGGCTGTATCCAGTGCTGCTGCCTGTACAGTCCTAAGTTCCCTCAGGCTCTTTTCGATAACTATTTCAACTGGTGAAAGCCACCAAGTTTTCTGTTGGACTGTGATTAGGACACATAGCCAGATGGGGCAATTCGGATAAACATCCATCAACTGGTGTTCTTGTGCACGGGTGTTCTCGCTCGCATATCACTCCTCTCTAACTGTTGCTGTAACGGAGGGGAGGTTTTAGAGTGAAGGGAGGGACGACAAAAGCAATAGTCCCCTCACCCTAAAGCCTTTTTCAGCCTCAACCCTTCCCCCCCAATTCAATACACTATCCCCTATCTGTGTTCACACTGGCTGCTCAACCCAATTCCGGAGAAAAGCATTGCTCAGCAAAATGTTTAAATATCTGAAGTGTGCTTGTTGGTATTTTATTTTACTTCGAATTCATCTCAATTAAAAAGAATAACCGAATAAAAAATCAGTGGAACCCCGGTGTGAATGAGTTAACAGCATTTATGTGGAAATGGGGCTCTTGTGACAAGCTCACTGCTAAAAACAAAAGAGTAAGGATTCCCATTGCTGTTTTTTTTTTCAAGTAACCGCTCCTCCTAAAATGTGGCTGCTGTCATGGCAGGGAATCGAACCCATGTCCTCGAACCTGATTAAAGTGATTAGTTGGACTTGTTGCTACTTATTCTAAAGGAGCATGCGAACAATGCAAGAAACACGCGTGATCGAAAGATTTTTTAAGGTCTCTTAGCCACTCATTGCATAACCTGTCAGGTCTGCTCTCGCGATTTTAACAACACCTCCGCTATTAAGAAGAGCGAAACGTGGATGTAGTATTGAAGCAGAAAGCATTGCCTGTCTGGAGAGGAATGTGTAAGTGTAGCTTCCCTAACTTACTCATAATGAGATGGCGTATCTATGCATGCGCAGTGGATGAACTCTGATTTTGACAATGTAAATATACTTGCAGTTTTCCAATAAAGCTTGTTCAAAGTTACCATTCATCGTAATCGTTTGTGTTCCTCCCAACCGTTGCGCGTTCTTGCGATGTAGTGTGCCTTGAACCTAGCAAGCCAACTCTTTAACTGGTAAGCTATCACGGTACATTTTCAGGCGAGAGTCCTGAATGCCTCATTAAGCCCGAGAAGCCACAGAAGACGTTAGCATAAATGATGCGAAAGATCATGCGATGGAGTCGTTAAGACGTCACACATCACCAAAATGCAGAAAAGAACTGTACGTGTACACATCTTGTTTTTTTTTTCCTTGATACATAGCGAGAGTCTCGTTATGGCAGGCTTGGTGCCTTCAAGTGGTATACAAAGAATTATTTGTCAGGTGCCAGCTCGTACTCCGTTCCCGTACTACGTGACGCCAAACAGGCAGATAAAGAGTGTTCTACACTCGCCGTCATGGTCTACTGGTGTCTTTGACGGAAGCTCCTACGTTTAATGCACATATATACCCCATAAAGTGGACGAGGGGGATAGCTCAGTTGGTAGAGCATCGGACGCGTTATTCGGAGGTCGCAGGTTCAGTTCCTGCCCTTGCAACCTATCTCTTCGGCCACTTTTCTTTCTTGACGTTCACATTACAATAACTCTTAATAAAGCCACCTATGCTTTCCTTAGCACGATAGTCAATTAGATCTCATTATTCACCAAAATTTGTGGTTATATTTTTTAATGTTATAAAATTTCTATTCAATCGCATAACATGACGTCTCGTAATGTCGTCATCACTTGACATCTACGCTTGCTCAAAAGGGGGGTGATCCCAGAGGCGCTGCAGAACCATCTGAAGAACAGATAAGTTTCAGAGGGGTAGGGGCTGAATCATTGAATCAATAAACCGACTGAGAAACAACACAAAAATAATGACGCTCGCTTTCGAGCCATCTTAGGCTAATGCATAAGAAGCCGTGTGACAGGCTTTACGATTACGACGCTATGATACTCTAACTCCAAGAGTGCTGGGGCGCTCGAGTTAAAACTGGGTTGCTTCAGCGAGTGAGTGAAAACCTAATTGATAAGAAAGGCGACACTACCACAATTTTTTATCACACTCCAAATGCAACAAATCACGAGGAACGAGAGAAGCAGTGGATGTTAATGCACTCACTGCAAGCAAAATCACCGCTGTCGAGCGACGTCAGTGGTCTGTCGCGAAGGGAGTCCGGCTGGGAGCACTGACCGCTGGCCTGCGTAATGGTCTGCTTTTCTCGAAGCATCTGTGTGAACCAGACGAGACCGCAGTCGCATAGCAGCGGGTTGCCGTCCAAGCGCCTGCACGGAGGCAAGACGTGGTGTCTCGTGCTGTTTCATGCGGTTCGACAACAAAATTTTTGTCACGGTTCCCGATTGTTTTTTTCCCAGTAGCGTTGCAAAATTACTGCATAAAAACAACGTCACCTAATACAGACTCTATCTTCGTGTACTGTTATATATACTTGGCAACAACTTTTTTTGTCCTGCGGTAACTACAGAACCGAAGAGCATGCCTGCTATTGCTCTAGTCTACTGATAATTCTCTGATTTTTCTCGCAAAAAGAAATGCTGATTTATTTTTATGATACCCAAACAGTTACGGGAGCTCGTATAGGTAAAATACGGTCATTGTTTATATTGCGAGAAAGCTTTCCTTTTTTTTCCAACTTTTTTTCAGCGTCACCTTTTCGCCACACCTCATCTCCGAAGTAAACATGACGTCTACGACGCAGTGGGTCAGTGTGCGGATGGCAACACGCTGTTAAACTCCGCTCAAGAAACATACTCGTGATGCGAAACTTGAGTGTGCAATGCCCAATCGAAACTTTTCTTCCATTCACATTTGTTTTGTGTAAAGACTTGTCTAAACGCGTTGCCCCGCCACGGTGGTCTAGTGGTTAAGGTACTCGGCTGCTGACCCGCAGGTCGCGGGATCGAATCCCGGCTGTGGCGGTTGCATTTCCAATGGAGGCGGAAACGTTGTAGGCCCGTCTACTCAGATTTGGGTGCACGTTAAAGAACCCCAGGTGGTCTAAATTTCCGGAGCCCTCTCCTACAGTGTCTCTCATATTCATATGGCAGTTTTGGGACGTTAAACCCCACAAATTAATCAATCAATCTAAACGCGTTACCGATGCGAGCGAGCGAAACCGAAATCATCCGCAAGCTGCCGTACCACTTTCGAAGCAACACGAACGTGCAGAAGCCCTGCCCCGCAGCTTACGCTACAATGTCGATGTCAAGATAAGTTGTCGCCAAGTATAGAAACACTAATAATAATGCAGCGAAGCATAGTCCACCTTTCTCCTTATGCCATTAGGCAGAATACATCATTATACAAGTTAGTTTTCAATCCTTTTACAGTCAACAAATGTGTGTTGTCACGATGCAACTATCAGCAGCCTAACACTCACGCAATGTATTTTAATAGCGGAGCTGTCAAAGTCGGGCCTAGCTGGCGTTGTGCGCACAAACGCGGTGGGTATGTGCCACAGGAAGCGGCTAGCATGTGTCAAACAGTTCCTAGTATAGCATAGCCATGCGTAGTATAGTACAGAGAGGGTGCGGCAAAGGGAAACGAGATTGAAGAGGAATTACGCTAAGGCGAGGACGAAGGATAGGAGGATAAAGAGCAATATAGTAAGAGATAAAGAAAGAGAGAAAGAAGAAAAGAAAGAAGACAAAAAGGATTAAGGTGGTTGTTTTGAAAGAGGAAAGAAACAATCAATGAGATAATTAAGAAAGATGGAAAAAGGACTCAATCTGCATTGGTGGACCTTTCTTGTAAGCTCCATAGTTCAGTCAGGCTTCCAAAGCGTGTAACTTTAACTTCTTTACTGTTTTTAGTTAAAAATGTATGAGCACCATAACACCGCTAAATGTACATCACGATGCTGAGTGCTTAAAATAAAATTATCCATTCATTTATTCATAATACCTCAAAGCTCCCACATGGCACAATACATGAGGGGTGGGCGAACAAAAAACTGGCGGGTGAGGTTATATTTCACGACTTCAAAAAAGGTTTTCAACGGCAGCCTTGATTTCAGTGATTACAGTGATGAGGGCGATATGTGAAGGAAGGGCATCACATTCTCCGGCAATATGCAGAAAAAAATGAATGTTGATGGTTGGTCGCGTGTGCACATGACTGATACGCAGCGAATAATACTTTACATCAGACTTTCATTTTTTTAGGATAGGAGCGGGTGGGAGAGGGAGATGGGTAACGGGGATGGGCTCGTGTCATTAAATCTGGGGATAACCTGGCACTCGTATAAAGGGAGCCGCCAGCTCGCGTACACAACATTCATGGACTGGCAGAACTTTGTGGGGACCAATCAAGCCCCCGAGCGTCATCGCACGAATGAAATATTCCATCGTACTAGAACGTAACGAAGGCTTCTATACGCTTGTCAACAAGCCCGAAATACAGCGCACAGACATGTCTGCAATAAAAAGAGAGAGAACGGCATACAGCCCGTTTATCCGAGCTGAAGGCTTTATTACGCGGAAGTTGCTCTACGTACGTCCAATTGTAAGCACGTCCGTAAAACACAGAAGCTAGGAATCCGCTCACGTTATACGGGCACTAGGACAACAGGTAATATCGATTCGAAACCTACATTATCGTAAAGGCAATAGAAAGCAAAAAAATACAGAGCTGTCACGTCAATGTTATTGCTAAGGGAACAGCGTCTCTTACCTCTGACGGTGTTCTATCCTTTCCACACGTGTGGGTCCTACGCGTACATAAAACCGACTTCCGCTTAATAAAACATTCACTCTGCAGTACGTAACGTCCTCTTTCCTGTTAGCTCTGTTGGTGCTTTGTTTGTCCCAAGCATTCGCGAATGCTAGCTTGCTTATGTATACTGTAAGATGCCTGCCCGTCTCTACAACGAGCCGAATCATCCTTATCTTGCACAAGCAGATATCATCTGATACGTGACAGTTTGCTAATTTTATCCAACCACTAATATTTGTACTCTTTATTCCATATTCACGGGTCACTCTACATAGCCTGAAAAAATCATAGCAAGGGTTTAAATGAGAGTAAAAGATAAATTTTTCCTCGTACAGCCCCCTCGCTCTTCGCAGCCCGATAGCTTTACGATAGCGGCCCGATAGTTTTACAAAAAGGCAGCGGACAATTTCATCCTGGTACGGTACTCCCGTACGTTCAGGAGATGGTTCTTTATGATATAGCTCTCGCTACTAATTCTCGTCCTGTAATTTTATATTTTACGAATTTACAAAGCATAAGAACTTCTTTCTCAACTTTTTTTTTCAAGAGAAAAACAGTTTCAAATTCACTTTTACGTTTCCTTTCAATACAACTTTCACTCTGCCCATACCATCCCAGGACGAGCCAAGCAGCTCGAGTTTCTCTTTTTTTCAAATTTCTCAATTTGGTTTTTTTTTTCTTTTTCCCTGAAGAATTTTCCACCGTCCTCGATTGGGCCTGATTCCTCTTGCAATCGGTAGGTGGTTCTTCATATTTGAACACTGGCTGCCTGTCTCGTGCATTGAAAATGTAGCTGAATTTCGTTTTATCCGCCTATAGATAACACAAACAAAATGGTCGAATATATAACTCGTTTCTCTATCGAATCCAAACGGCTATGTTACTCTCGTAACGTTATGTCATCCTATATTTTTAACACTTATTGCGTTGTTCTCATAGTTACTCGTCAAGCTTCTAAATTAAACAAAATATAGTGATTGGCTAGCTGGTATTACTTGTGTTTCGGTTTATCACGAGAGTGTCTTCTTTTGTACCCTCATTTTCCTTTTGCACTAAACTTGAATTTTCTAGCTCAACTATTTTTTTGCAGAGTGTATACGTACATTGGATAGTTGTAATTATTTAATGCTTAAGTCAAACAATCTTTGCGCGTAAGCAATACTGGAAAAGTGGTTGCTAATTTCGTTTTATCCGCCGTAAATCTACCTCGCCGTAAATCTACCTCGCCTTAACACGTTTTATCCGCCGTAAAACTTTCGCCGTAAATCTACCTCGCCTTAACACGTGCCATTTCACGTCAACCTTCGATCAGGAAAACTTTATCAAGGCAATTAAAGGCTCTGAGTGGTCTTCCATTAGCACCTTAGAAAATCCTGAAGAAGCACTAGGCAACTTCTGCTCCCTATTTCTTAAAGCTGTGCATGCAAACACTAAAACTGTTAAATGCAAGAAAGTATATAGGTTTCAACGTAATCCCTGGCTAACTCAAGGCTTGTTAACTAGTATGCGGAAAAAAGATAATCTCTACAGAAAAACAAAAAAACAGCCATTTAATGTGAATTTGAGACTTAGGTATAAAAATTATAGTAAGATGTTGAATAAACTGCTGAAAAAATCAAAACGACTTTATTACGAAAAAGAATTCTGTAAAGCAAGAAATGACCCAAAGAAAAAATGGAAACTTTTCAATGACTTCTTAAACAGACCTCAGGTTAGTAATGTCATTGATAAAATTAGGTATACACAGCAAATCTGTACTGAGTCCTCTGACATAGCTGAGTCTTTTAGTGATTACTTTTATGAAGTATACAATGATAGGCCCAAAGTATCCTCGTACACCCTTACCCGCTGTATCCATTCATTCTTTCTATTTCCTGTTACCATTGACGAAGTCTATTCTACAATCCTGAGTCTAAAAAACTGTAGCGCTGGACTAGACAATGTATCGGCGTTTCATTTAAAACTTGCTGCTCGAGACATCTCAGAAGTCCTAAGCAATATAATTAATGTCATTTTCAAACAAGGTATATTTCCGAGCTCACTGAAAAAAGCCAAGTTAATCCCAGTATACAAAAAAGGTGATCCGACAGATGTCCGTAACTACCGCCCTATTTCTATTTTGTCTTCCATCAGCAAACTTATTGAAAAATTATTTGTGAAACGTATTAATAAGTACCTCAATAAATTTAGTCTTCTAAAGCCTTGTCAATTTGGTTTCCGGGCTGGTAGTTCTACGAATTTAGCATTGCTATCATTAACCGATTTCTTGAAAACGTCCATCGACAACGGTAATTTCACAGGGTCTGTATTTCTTGATTTCACGAAAGCCTTTGATACTATTAGTCATAATATTTTATTTAGCAAATTAGAGTCCTTGGGTATCACTGGCCCATCCTTGACCTTCATAAAAAACTACCTTCTTGATCGTGAACAATCAGTCTGCATTGGGGGCGTTTATTCTAATGTTAAAATAATTAATCAAGGGGTCCCACAGGGTTCTATTCTTAGACCCTTACTGTTTTGTATCTATATTAATGATTTGCCTGACTGCCTTGGAGATTCTAAAGTTATTCTTTTCGCTGATGATACGACCATTTCCATCTCGCATCAATCATTACCTACTCTGATCAATATGTTGAACAAGGAACTGACTAATGTCGTTGAATGGTGTCGCTTAAACAACTTAATTTTAAACCCGCTCAAAACTCAATTCATGGTTTTTAAAACATCACAAAAAATGCTACCTTTCATTCCACAAGTGTTCATTGACAATCATTTCATTCCTGCGTCTAACTGTGTGTGTTTTCTGGGCATAAAATTGGACCCTCATTTAAAGTTCACCAATCATATTCTTTACGTTAAACAAAAAACAGCATTTGGTATAAGATCACTCATCAAATCTCGTCCTTTTTTTTCACTTGAAGCCTTATTGTCTTTATACTTTGCCTTCATACATAGTCACATCACCTATGGCATTACATCATGGGGAAATACATATAACATTCATATTTCGTCTGTACAGCACATTCAGAATCAGGCCATGCGCATTATTACCAACAGTTCATCTTATTCTAATGCTACCCCACTCTTTCAGGCTAACTGTATTCTTACTGTGTCTGGCTTATTTAAATTTCACTTAATCACATTGTTATATAAACAACTTAACAAACAGCTTTTGTTTGATTTAATCGATGCTAGTTTACTCACTAACACCAATAGCACTAGATTCGCCCACAGTCACAACTTCCTTTTACCTAAATGTAACACCAATTATGGCAAAATGACGTCCGCCTTCGCGGTCATCAAATTGTGGAATAACCTGCCCTATACACTAAAATCATCATCATCTTTTCATGCATTCAAACGTGATCTTAAAAACTTCATCTTGCATAACTAGGTTGACAACGATGATTACTAAACGATTCTTGGTATCCGGGCATGAAATGGGAAAGTCTTTGCAAATTTACGTTATTGCTTTTTGGCGTGATTATGTTTTACTTATATAATCTTATTAATATTGTTCTTGTGTCGCATTCTGACTGCCTGTTTTGTTTACTTGATGTTATTTTATGTAAGTTCACTGTTTATTTTTCTTTGTGTTGCGTATTTTACGTGCTGTTTTAATTAATCATTTTATTGTTATATTTAACCGAGGGTCCCCCTGCAGTCGCTTGACTTTGGGACCCTCGTCTGCATACTACACTTTACGAATTTTGTATTTTGAATGATTAAATAAACTGAACTGAACTGAACTAATTGCCTAATTCATAAAATAAGAAATTACAGAGAGGTAGACACGCACGCACGCACATGAAAAAAAAACAAGCGCATACTAGACGACCTATCGCAGTATAGTAGACTGTGATAGGTAATCACAGCTGTCTCTTTTTTTGCGCTGTGTCCTGTATCTTGATTCACCCCCGCATTTACTGATCCTTAATTGAAATGAACTAATCCTTGAAGACACTCTACTTATACAACAATATACGCAACTCGCAATCACATTCAATCTGCATACGAGTATGGTTGCTGTAAATAAGCTAGCTGGGCGTGTTGACGCCCGAATATGAAAAAAAAATTAACTAGACCGGACCAAGAGGAGGCCTAACTTCCATCTTGTTTTCAGGTATTTTTGTCTTCTTTAGGAATAGACGCATTATGAAGCTAGGTGATCTGGAAAATATATGCTAATTATTATACAGGTTAAAAAAAAACAAAAAAACACACTGGAATTCATCTCTCTTTTCTGTGAGTCTTTTTAGATGTGTTCATAATAATTCATTCAAAAATTAGCATGAGCACTGTTAATTTTGTTTGAGTTGCAATGAGATAAAGAAAAGTCACGTGAAAGACACGGAGGTTAACCAGAAAAAAGGTTTTCCGTTGGCTACTCTGCGCTGGGAAGGCGTGGGAGGATGTAAAGGTGAGGAAGAAAAAATAGTAAAGGATAAAAAAAATGAAACAAAAAACACACGCTCACTCAAGCACAGGATTGTCATAACGCACTATGAAATCATAAAAAAAGTGTGCCGCATAAAATCGCACATCGCTCTTACAGGCGTCTCAGCTGCCTGAGGTTCTGCAGGGCTCCCTTCTGGACCGTGCGTATATGGTTGTCATTGAGGTGCCTGCAAAAGAGGGCGCCAGTGACGTTGGAGGGTATAGCATACTGACAGGCTCGCAAACTATAGTACGGCGACATTTCAATGCTCAGCCGCGGATGGCGCACGAACGCGCGACAAGAGCTCACAGCCTCTCCAAAGACAGCAGAATCCGAAACGGCGCCTCCGCTATCTCCCCGAGCTCGTTCTCCTGGAGAGACCTGCGGAAGAGTCATTCACGGATGGCAATCGTGAGCATGGGTCAGTGAACTCAGTCATGAGTCAACTCACACAGAATCAATCAGACTCAGACTGGGCTGTGAGTCTGAGTCTGAGTGATTCCTAGTGAGTAGAGCTTGACTCCGAGCAAGTCAGGTTGAAAAGAATTTTAGGGAGTCCGAGTCGCAGTGAATCCGACACAAAAGACGAAAAAATGGCCAGTCTGAGTCTTAGTGAGTCCAGAGAGCAAGGTATATTTCTTGAGTAAGTATGAGTGAGTTTCAATGAGGTTGCCAACTTATCTACTCATCTTCAGCATTACCATGGGCCTTACCTGGATTTTTGTTTGTACTCACGTCTCACAAGAAGTTTAAAACAGTGTTGTTCATAAACCATTTCAACAGTTATTAACTATAGGCTTGCATCCCGTAAGGGGATGCCTTGTACTACCCCGCCACAAGCTTTTCTGGAGAAGTTCTTGAGTGAGTCTGGTTGAGGGAAATTGTCGGGAGCCTCAGTCCGATTGAATCCGGTTGAGGAAAATATTGATGAGTAGGAGTTTGAGCAAGTCCTAAGCGCGAGATGTTTAAGAGAATTCTATTTCTAGAAAAATCATACATACAGAGAAGACATTTATGCGTTACATTGTTCGTTCTCAAGACATTGCTAATATATCTTAATATACATTCAATTGCACTACAGGAATTATCCCATGAACTCGAGGTGGTTAAAGGTGGGAAATAGACACGAAGCACGAGCTCTAAGAAAGTGTGCGTGTGCCACATCTCGTTTAGTCCTTGAAATGTCCACTGGATGGCGGTGCTTCTATGTGCGGAATATATGATGAAAAGATGCGACATGGTGGTACTTGGAGTGTTGACTAGATGGACGAACGGGCACACAGAACGATGCATGGACGGACGCATGATGGCTGCACTGACGGACGGACGCATGAATGGACGCAGGGGCGGATGGATGGAGGAACGCAGGGACGGACGCATGGATGGACGTGCGGATGCACGAACAGACGCATGCACGGACGAGTGGATGGACGTACGGACGGTCACACAGACAGACGCATAGACGGACGGAAGCAAGAACGAATGGATGGACGAATGCTTCGCCCCTCTCTTCATCATTCACCCCGTGGATATGCTGCCATTTTTTTGGACTCGGTCGTGGAAAGATTCTAGGCCTTCTTTGTACCTAATCAGGTATAGTTATGCGTTGTTCTGCCGGAGGACGTGAGTTCGGCTAGCCGTGTTTCAATAAAGGCTAAGTACCCAAGAGATTTTGTGTGCATAAGCTTATGTTTCTCTCAATAAACCGCTGCTTGTAACCATTTTTTCACTGTGAAGTACTATGGGACTACTCATGATAATATCGTGGTTTTGACATGTACAGTGCTGCAATTTGATGTTCATTATGACGGCTGAATAAAGTACGCGTGATGTATCAAGATCATGTGTAGGCCTCATGAAGGGTGAGATGGACGGCTCTATGCTCTTCCTTATTTGAATACCTATATAGTACTCTAAATCGTTACCACTTTTTCTAAACAGCTTGGATTAGTGACTGCCTTCTTCATTCCCTAAACTCTGTGTATATCCTGGGATGGCATTTGCTATCTCATAGTGGAGTACTAAGTACTCTAAATCCTTACCACTTATTCTAAACAACTTGAGCTCCGATTAGAGACTGCCTTCTTGATTCTTCAGAGTCTATGTATATCGTGGGACGGCATTTCCTCCCCAATAATAGAGTACCAAGTACTCTAAATTGTTGCCACTTTTTTTCTAAACAACTTGAGCTCAAATTAGTGACGGCCTTCTTCATTGTCTAAAGTCTGTGGATATCGTGCGAAGGCATTTGCTCCACCATAGTAGAGTGCTAAGTACTCTAAATTATTAAGCGCTTTTTCTATACAGAATTCCTTGCTTCATTCACATCAATGGAACGGCTTACCGCTCTTTGATAGTCGAGTACCACGTACTTTAGATGGTTAAAAACATTTTCTTGACGCCATCTCCGCAGGTATGTGGTGTTATTTCCTTGTTAAGGAATAAATGGCTCATTGCTCTCCCACAGTTCAGTACGAAAACTTTTGTTCTAAACAGAGGTACTCTGAATAAATAACCCCCTTTTCTAAACACACAGGCTCTTTCTCATAATTCTGCACAATTTGTAAGGGAAAAAAAGACATTTTCAACTGAACGAAAAGTCCAGGTAACTTACAATTGTTCAAGCTGTTGCAGTCCTGAAAACGCGTCATCTTCGATGCGCCTGATTCTGTTCTTCGAGAGGAACCTGAAGTGAAAGTAACGCAGTTGAAAGAAAGGGTTAGAGTACCGGTAGTGCTCGTATCCTGAAGACGCTTTTCAGCGTTAATAAGCAACATACATCATTATCTTCAATATATATATATGTATATATACGGAAGCGAAAAAGCACGACTAACGAGGAAACACTTTTATTAATCACATACGTTTCGGCTGGTGGGCCAGCCTTCATGTAATGCAGCTTTCGTAGCCATTATATACATTTCTAAAACAGTTTTGGGACATGCGCAATAGCAATCGGAAGTGGTTCGACATGATTATACAAAAAGGCAAAATACATTTAGTGTGAAGATGCAATGCGTAAAGTAACATGGACACAGTGGTCACCTCTTATCGTTATAGCGACATCAGTACGACATCAGTACGACATCAGTATATATATATATATATATATATATATATATATATATATATATATATATATATATATATATATATATATATATATATATATATATATATATGTGTGTGTGTGTGTGTGTGTGTGTGTGTGTGTGTGTGTGTGTGTGTGTGTGTGTGTGTGTGTGTGTGTGTGTGTGTGTGGCGGTGTTAGCAATGAAGTAAATCTTAAACAGTCACGGGGGGAAACCAAGTTTCGCAATGTCGGCCTTTTGTTTTTTATCAGTATGCTTTATTTTCATTCATATAACGTTTAATAAAAAGTTACAAAAAAGAGCATGAGTGACGGGTCAAGTAGAACAGCACTTAGGAGAAAGTAGTGTAAGTGTACGTTGAATTAAGAAGTAAGTTTCTAATCATAAGACATGGGCAAGCTCTAGCGTCTTCCCTGCTTCGGGTAAAAGTAATAAATAAAATTGGTAGCATTTTATGTGATCGCGCGTACCCGTACAGCTTAATGTCATATCACGGAGACTTGTCAGAAATATAAATGTTGAGCATGCCTCTCTGAAGGCAACCCTGAAACAATACCGGCAAAGAAGCAAAGCTTCGCGTCGATGAAGTGCGGATAAAGACCGGAGCTACAGCTTAGGGTTTACATGTGGGAACCCATAGCGAACGAACTCACGACAAGTGAGTCCTTTCGTGGTTAGCTTTGGGGACACCGAAAAGAGGCAGGCAACTTATACGTTGCTTCGACTCTTTGTTGCGACCATGGGGTATACTTCCTCCTCCTCCCGTCACTGTGCCTGTTAAGAGCTTAGCTTATTTATTAGCAAGGTATATAGTGGCACAGATATGGCGGTCACCCTTTCGTTTAATTTCTGTTTTAATATTTGTTTTGAGCTGTCAAGTTACACCTTGACTGTTCCTGAGTCTTCTTAGAGCACGAGTGAGAGTTGTTTTGCATCTTTCCGATTGCGATGTGTGACAAAAGAAAGTCAAGGCCAGGACTTCGGTGATCTGTTCGGTGTTGTGGCGTCTTGCTCTCTGCGATTTCGTCGCCTTTTTAGCGTGGAGTATACACAGCGTGTTTCAGAGGGCGCTTTCATCAAAATTTCCTTTTTCATGCTGCTTAGGTGCAGATCGAAGGCACTGAAGCTTTCAGCAGAATTTAAATGAAAAATTAGGGCAGCTTTCCAATTGTGGTGCTAAACCTGAAGAAACTCTGGATTCGGACAGCATTTTTTGTTTCTCTTCAGCTTTCTCCTTCTCGCCTCCTCAATTTTTTTTCTCTTTTTTATCTTCTATTCGTTTCTATTCAATTCAACATTTCTATGCGCCCCTTTTTTATCTCTGTTTTATTTTTCGTGTGCTTCCTGTTTTTAATTTCCTTGAACAGCACGAGAACGGCAAGCAAGAAGACATCCGAAGCACCTCTAGCTGAGTTATGGATGTTGGTTTTTCATTGTTGCTCATTTGTGCAAGGTATGGAGAGTGTCAGATGTGCGGAGGGGGCCTTAATGATTTACCTGATCGCTTCTAACACCGTAGCCTTCAGCTTTACTCCTGTTCATTGATATATCTCTTGGTGCCATATATTATTATATTCGTGTGGTGAAGTTATTCCTTATTCTTTCATTGAGCGTCCTATCTCTACGTCTTCATCAAACGAAGTTAGATTTTTTTTTGCCCTAGTTTAGGGTATTTGTTACGTCGCAACAGGCTTTTTTGTTTGTTTTTTGTTGTTCTTTTTTCTTTCCTTCGCTGTTGTTCGCTTCTTCTCATGCGCGAAGTTTTATCTGTTTCTTCTCATGCGCAAAAAAGAAAGAAGCGCCATCTGCAAAACGCTGTGTATAGTGCAACATCATGCACGCTGTAGGCCTAGCAAAGGGGTTTTGCGTTGTTATACTGCCCCCTTTCCGGCCCTCCAAAAAGTTTCGATTTCGCGTAGCGACGCTCACATAACAACGCACATCTGATCCGACAGAGAGTATGGTTATCCCCCTCCGCTCCTTCCTGTACACACACCGGGCTATGCCCCTGTTTCACACCAACGCCTATACAATGCTTGGGCCTGTGCACGTTTTCCTTCCTCCGTGGGCCTGTGTCTGTATTAAGACTCGTCGATCAAGGTGTACTTCTGGCGCCCTCTATCAGTGTTCAACGCGACATCTTTTGGCATCCGACAGTGTAACGGCCACACGGGTCACTGATCACTGCGGCCAAGGAGCCTGGCTGTTTAGTTTCACTCGCTACGCTCAGGTGGCGCGGGAAGCCCTAAGAGGATACAGTTACTGTATATGGCTCCTTATATGACTCCCTTTGGTGCGCCATATACAGTAACTCTAAAGGAGAATGTAGGGTCATTGTTGGGAAAGCTTTTTTTGAAACTTTCACTACAGTTACATGCCGTCATAGCTGAGTGACGAAAGCAAAGGTTATATACTCGAGCTTCTTGACATGTTGCGAACAAATCGAAGTTTGTATATAAATATTTAATTTGTTTAGTCTCGGAAAAATGTCCATGGACGCAGTTGTTACAGAGGCACGTTGAAATCAACAGCTAGACGGTGTCGTGTGTGTTACACGTGAACATCGGTGTGCAGACGTATGTGGTTCCTCGACTAAATTGCAATGGCGTTCAATTCCTATGGCGGTTTAGGAGACATGCTTTGCTGAAAATGAACTCACTGAGAACGTAAGTGGCTTAAAGAGAACAATCGACGCCAAGCAAATATACAGCAAGGTTCCGTGTCGTAATTTGGCATCGCTCCTTCCGACAACTGTGATGTATTTGTAGGAATATAGTCCGAAGAATTGAGCAAGGCCGAGAGAATTGACATGTTTGAATATTTAACACAAGTGTTTGGGGGATGTGAACATATTGCAAATACGGGGTAGGTTGTCCTCATTGCTAAGTTTCAATTCATTGAATCTAGTTTTATTTTAGGGGAGCCTTCATTGGCGTTGTTGAGAAACGGCGGACCGATCCCGCCGAAGCCACCACTGTTGCGAAAGACGGGGACGCCAACACGGCCTCGAAGGCGCCACTGCTTTCAACTCCGCCGGGAAGGTCACCAGCCGTTTGGTAGCGTATGTATCTCAGCTCGCGACTGCTTCTGCGCAGAGCCGATAAGACGAGCGGACGAGACGACGGTGAGTTAAACAAAGTTTATGTACAGCATATATACAGAGGCGTTACAATTTCGGCACTGGGGCCGACAGAGACTCGAAGAGCCGAGCTCTCCTCTCTAACACATAGGTCAGACTTTCGCCTAAGACCGCTGACTCACACACATGTCGGCACTCCGACACGGGGACGCCTCTCACATAGGACCGCCGATCGCGACGCGCCGCAGGGCTTCTTTTATTTACACCGGGTCCAACCAAATTGTCCAATCAGAAGCGCCGCTGGTCGTCCGGGCAGATTCCGCCAATGGGGGTCGCCGCGCCATGCGTCAGACCACCAGGCACGAGAACGCCGGCTCGCTGTCACGTGCACCGATGACTCAATGCACGTGGGCGAGAGAGGCGCCGCGCGTGTTCACGCCGTTGAGATGTTCGCGTCGGGCAGACGGCGGGCTGGCCTTGACCCAGATTGCCTTTTTCAGAGGCACGGTCGTTTGACGAGGACTCGCTGGCATAACAGCACCCCCGCCGCCAGACAATGCACCGGAAAGACGAGCTGCTTCCACGGGGCTCGGATGTCAGGTGCGCTCGTTCGCCTGGTCCCTCCAGGTTCGCCTCCAGGGCCATGGGGTGAATACAGCTCCAGACTGGTCCGGGAACACATCCCATTTTGACGACGGATCCCAGCCCCACTGGCTTGTTGCCACAACTTGCTGACCAACTTCGCTCGTCTCTTCTGACCATCTTCGGTTTCAGCACTTGTCGATGGTTCTGCAACTGGCTAAGAACGGTTCGACAACAGACAACACACGACACAAGCAAGTGCCCCCGGTCACCCGACAGAACACCAGACAAAGTATAGTACAACATATACCTATCTACGTGTCTATCGGAATTTTGTTCCCTCTACATCAAGAGGCACATGTGGGACACAAGACTCTTAAAATGACAACTCAATTTTTTTCCACGTACAACAACGTAACGAATTAGAATACCACATAAAGTTGGCCCCTTGAGATCACTCTGAACGAGAGCGCTCAGCCCAGGTCGTGATGAGGTCAAAATTTTGCCCCGAATCGCCAGCGAGAAACCGAAAGGTTGAGAAGTTACTAGCTGGAACGCACTGCTCAATGCACCTGCATTAGCGTTTACCTTTCCCTTTTTTTTTTTAGCGAACGTCAAAGTTGCGCTGTGGAGCAACATGCTCCACTTCAGTAACCGGCCACTTTTAGGCGACGATACCTATGCGGCACCAAGAGCGGCTCACACTTTCGACGTTGCACAGGGGAACAACGATACGGCTTGCTACGGATTGACTCCTCACCGCTTAGCTCGATATCGTGTTCGATCACCCTCATGTTTCCGGGGCAGTCCGAAAACACGTCTTCAAACTCGGAACCAATCTTTCTCAGGTCCTCTTTCTCAGGTCCTCCTTCACTTAAGCTAGGCTCTAGGTTTATCTGCTCCCGGATTACTTTCGATCCCCTTTCGATTACCTCACTAGAACTCAAACTTTCTGCTTCCTCTTCCTCTGAAGCATTCAACAACAGATTTACGATCGCTTGATGTTGAACGTATGGTTTCATCAAGTTGTAAATTTTGTCCGGCCGCCTTCCTAATTTCACTTCATAATTTGTATCGCAAGGCTTCGATAATACTTTGGCGGGCCCTTCCCAATCAACCTCAAGCTTGTTCCTTTTGGGTGGCTGCAGCCGCATTACCTGATTATCAACTTCAAAAGCGCGCTTCTTCCCCGATTTCTCGTAGTGCTCCTTCGACAGCACTTTTGCCGCGTTTTTCTGGCTTTCCACGAGCGCTTCAATTTGGCTTTCCACTAGCGCTTCAATCGAGAGACCCTCACTCTGCCCTCGAATGAGCGTCTCTCGACCAACTCTCGGCAGCTCGCTCCAACTTTCCGCTACAGGCGAGAGCGTTGCATCCCTCTCGCTCTGACTCAAAGGCGCCACGTCGTCTCCCCCAGCGCATACCGCGCCGGCCGCTCCCGCGACGGGCCGCTCGCGTGACTGCTCACATGACTCATGCGGAAAATTTCCTTTCTGGGGTTCCGTCGACCCGCCGACAAGGTCACTTGAGAGTTCACCGCATGGAACCAAGTCAAGCTTCCGCGAAAGCTTTCGCGCTTGCGATCGCGTGGGAGCCATGCACGCTAAGTTGGGGAAGAACGATTTGCCCTGCTCCTTGAGAAGCTGCTCCGAGTTGTTGGAGAAAAGATAAGAAAAACGACCATTCAGCGCGGCAGACACAGCCGCTTCGGTGCAAAGCTTACCGAACGGGCCTTCAATGACAACGGTGGCGATTGGTAAGCGAACACTCTGCTCCTCGGCGACTTGCCTGATCCACGCGCATTCTCCTGTGAAGTCATCCGGAGACACCAATGAAGGATGGACAACGTCCATGGTTGCCGCTGAGTCTCTAAGTGCTCGGCACGTTTTCTCATTGACCCTAATTTCTTGGAGATACGGCTCCAACAACCGCATGTTTTTTTCTGATTCTCGGATCGTTGCGAAGGCAAACTTTTCCTGACAGTTTCTCGCGATGTGCCCTTCCTTTTTACAGTTGTAGCAGATTAGCGGCTTCCGTTTGTTTTCCGGTTCTAATGCCTGTGTGGTAGAAACCTCACTCGATTTCTCCGCTTCTGTTTGCCCTTCCCCTACACTGTCCTTCGTAAGAGACGGGTCCTTCTTGAAATTACGGTGCGGAGCGGGTTTCCGTTGATCAGGTTCTTTGAAAAGCCCTCTTTTCTTTCATCCTTTTCAACGCGCACTGCCCTGCTATGCAACTTTCGGCGAGTATAATACTCCTCAGCTAACTCTGCTGCCTTGTTTAGCTGTACTTCACCAAGTTTGTCCTGCAGCCAAAGTTTGACATCCTCCTCGATGCAGCGGTAGAATTGCTCCAATGCAACGCATTCCACCACTTTATCGCGGTCGTCATAAACACCTTCGCCCTTGAGCCATTCAATCAAATCGGCTTTAAGACGAAACGCGAAGTCAACGTGTGACTCATTCCCCTTTTTAGCATACCGGAACCTTTGCCTGAAGCCTCGGGTGACAACTTATAACGTCTCAAGAGCACTTCCTTAACCTCGTCATAGCTCTCAAACGCTTCCCTCGACAAGCAAGTTATCGCGTCGGACACTTCGCCGGGAAGAAGAGCTAGCAGGTTCCGCGCCCAAAGAGACTGCTCCAAAGCATTTCGCTCACAGACGTGTTCAAACTTGACGAGATACTTCGCCATGTCCTCGCCCACTACGAACGGTGGCAGTTGATCCCGAATTCTAATACCGCTGACCTGAATCGTCGGAGAAGCTGCGCTAGGCGCCTGCGAACACTGTAGGATTGCCAATTCTATTCGTTTCATCTCGAGGCGCTCCTGTCTCTCGGCCTCCTCGCGCTCGCGACGTTCGCGCCTTTCAGCCTCTTCACGTTCGCGAGCTTCTCGCCTTTCTTCACGTTCGCGAGCTTCGCGCCTTTCTTCACGTTCGCGAGCTTCGCGCATTTCAGCCTCTTCACGAGTTTCTCGCCTTTCAGCCTCCTCACGTTCGCGAGCTTCTACTTCTCGCCTTTCAGCCTCCTCACGGCGTGCTTTAATATCCACCCAGGCCTCATCGACTTCCTCAGCCGACACTCCCTCATCCTTCATGATCTCAAGGATCGCTTGCTTTCGTTTCGCACGGCCCAAAGTAATGCCGAGTTCCTCACAAATTTCGATGAGTTCCTTCACTTTAAGGTTCTCCATCGTTCACACTAGCCTCTTGCTGTTTGCCCCTGTTAAGAATCTACTTGCCGTACCCACTATAAGCCTACTAGCAAGACGCGCAAGCAATTTTAACACTGCCGTGTTTACCCCCTCTGCATTAACTTTGGTTTCAAAGCGCTTCGACTTGGCTTGAAACGATCAAAGCTTACTTTAATGCTTCACACAGCCCTTCTCTAAACTACTACAACCTGAGCTAGAGTAGTCTGGTGAACTGAGGGGAAAACATCAGGCACTCACCGCATCGATGTCGCTGACGCCGGCCGATCCCACCGCTGCCACCACTGTTGAGAAACGGCGGACCGATCCCGCCGAAGCCACCACTGTTGCGAAAGACGGGGACGCCAACACGGCCTCGAAGGCGCCACTGCTTTCAACTCCGCCGGGAAGGTCACCAGCCGTTTGGTAGCGTATGTATCTCAGCTCGCGACTGCTTCTGCGCAGAGCCGATAAGACGAGCGGACGAGACGACGGTGAGTTAAACAAAGTTTATGTACAGCATATATACAGAGGCGTTACAATTTCGGCACTGGGGCCGACAGAGACTCGAAGAGCCGAGCTCTCCTCTCTAACACATAGGTCAGCCTTTCGCCTAAGACCGCTGACTCACACACATGTCGGCACTCCGACACGGGGACGCCTCTCACATAGGACCGCCGATCGCGACGCGCCGCAGGGCTTCTTTTATTTACACCGGGTCCAACCAAATTGTCCAATCAGAAGCGCCGCTGGTCGTCCGGGCAGATTCCGCCAATGGGGGTCGCCGCGCCATGCGTCAGACCACCAGGCACGAGAACGCCGGCTCGCTGTCACGGGCACCGATGACTCAATGCACGTGGGCGAGAGAGGCGCCGCGCGTGTTCACGCCGTTGAGATGTTCGCGTCGGGCAGACGGCGGGCTGGCCTTGACCCAGATTGCCTTTTTCAGAGGCACGGTCGTTTGACGAGGACTCGCTGGCATAACAGCGTGTACTTGTGGCGCCCTCGATCGATATTTAACGCAACAGTTATGCATCCGAAAGTGCCGCCACATCACGGTCGCCGATCGTTACGGACAAAGAGCCTCGCAGTGTAGTTTCACTCGCTAGGCTTAGGTGGCGCCGGGAGCACAAGGAGAATAATGGAGTGTTATAACAAAATATCTGCTCCGGAATTTTCACAACAGCGATCAAGAGTACTAGATTGTCTTACACGTGAGCTAGGGAAGAGAAATTTCACCTCCACATTTGTTCATTGGTACTTGTTTGCAAACACATTGAAATTGGTATCAGAATAACGCATATAATTTTTTTTATTATAGGTACTCACAAGTGTCTCAAGTTCCTGAGCTTCTCGAAGGCCTGGTTTTCAACAATCTGCAACTGGTTGCTGTCCAGCATCCTGCACATGAGTCATGCTCATTTGCACACGTTCGGGTGATTGCAGGCGTGTGGTATACGACACAAGAAAGAACATCTTACACAGTTCGTGACACAACACGCGAAACTAGTTCAGACACTGAAAGTATGGACTATGTACACATTGTAGCGTTGTCGAACACATAATAATTCAACATATTTCATTTCATTTCCTTTATTGTACCCTCAGGGTCAAACAAGACATTACTGAGAAAGTGGGTTACAGGCAACAATGGGAAGTTGTACAACATGAGTGAAGCAGAACTCTGCAGGAATATAATTCAGTGAGTTAAAAATTGTGAAGCTGTTACAAAGGGTTGCGTCTAAGTAAGTTGTACAAAAATGAAACTCTGTAAATGTGAGAAAAGCGTGAGAGCGAAATCTAAAAAAAATAACTATTTCAAGGTGAAGGAAAGGCAGACAATAAATAGAAATATATATACTGCAATAAAAATAAGCAATTCAGTATATATGCAGTATCTCTAGCTCTGCCACTTGTTGCGATGAGAAATAGCTCGCTGATAACGTTCCCATTAGTAATAGGTTCGTGCATTATTAGTTTACCTGCAGGGTTTATGTACTCATGTGCTACTAACAGAATACTGTAGTATACCTTACTAAAGACAAGATAAGTGTTCATGACAAGCATCAAATTTCGTTAACACAATTTGTGCGTATACCTTTTGTCAGAAGAGGCGGGGTGAAAAGTGCATTCTATTTTATGTGGATATGAATCCATATTTATGAGGTCATTCATGCACAGTTAGGAAGGGCCAATCACGTAGTGATGGGTAGGACATGCTGCCGATACTTACAGGGTGTCTAGGTTGGGTAGGTCTTGAAATGCGTTCGCCGGTAGGCGCTGTATTTGGTTGAAGCGCAGGTCACTTGGTTGTTTACGGGACGAGCATTTATGAAAAAAAGATGCGAAAAAGTCAATACAAACGCAATGAGTTATTCTGAAAAACTTGTAGCTGGGCGAGTCGGTTCAAATTTCAAGGTAAACTGGTGTTCGCTAATTAAGAGGAGGACACTGAAGAGGTGGGACAGGAAGAAGCGCTATAGCTACAACTGAATTTTATTATTGTTGGTCTTCAAGTATGTACTCACGAAAAAAACATAGCCAAGTGATCACATGGTCAAAGCCAAACAGCTTACAAGAAAGTTGCTTGTTGGGCAAATTGGTACATACTTAGTAAACTACAAAAAGCCACGTAGTCACGCAAGAAGGCACGCAAAAAAAATTACGCTGAATGTCACATGGCGAAACAGACGTGTCAATAACACAAGCATTGACTCTTGCAGATATATGAAAGGCTTCCATCAGTTCGCGGGCTGCGGTATTACCTCTCCTGCCCAAAATCTTAACCTCTATGAAAATCCGTGAGCACATGCGAGCTTGGCAACGTGCAGGCTAATGCACGTTCCCGTTATTTCCAAGTGAAAGCTCGTGTTTTCTTGCATGGCCCTTCACAGAACACCCGCGAACTGATGGCTGTTATAAATTTGCAAGAGGCAATGCTTGTGTTAGCGACACGTCTGTTTCTTTATATGATACTGAGCGTGATGTTTTGCGTATCTTTGTATAAGCTGTTTGGTTTTGACCTTGTGAGGACGTGACTATGGCCTGTATTCAAAAAGCAAACTCGGCTTTACCTCACGTTTACCTCAACTTTCTGTACTCTCTACATACGTTATGAAGGCACAAAAATGGTAACAAGGTGAAAGATAAGGACATGACTGGTTCACGAATACTGCCCCAATTTTTTCATCATGTGAAATAAAGGCTTGAAACCGAAAAGGAAAACTGGAGGAAAGGATGAGATAGGTTTGTGAGTACGGGCCTATGTCGTTTCCGTGAGCATACGTTCGAAGAGTGACGATTAATAAAATGCAGTTAAAAGTTTGCACTCGTCCCGGTCTCATGTTTTTTGTGTCCTTATCTTTATTTTCACACAGCAGTTTGCCTTCAAACGCAATGAGCACGAAAATTTATTCTTAGAGATCAGCTACATGCGATGCGCACGTCAAGTGTACGGGGTGCACAATTCTATGCGCTTTGAGCATTCCATTTCCACACCTATAAGGGCATATAGAACAGACACACCTCCCTAAAACTATCATGCACTGAGCTTATTCGGTCTAACATATGTCCAAAGTGCGTTTTGTTTGTATCTGTAATCTTTGTCAAATGTTATGAATCATACATTTCGGTTTACCTTGTCAATGTATACGTAAACTAATAAATAAATACATTTTATAATATATTGAAAATATTAAGTAGCACCTAAGGGATGGCTTGCTAAATTTTCAGTATCCAACTCGTAGAAATCTCGTTATGACTGTCGTCAAAATACACTTCGTATTGAGGTCGCTCAACTGTTGCGCCAGGGAATAGAAACAAAATACACTGCGTAGCAAACTTGCAACATCCAATCAAGGCTATCGACGTCACGTGCTTTGTATTGATACGGGTGACTCACTCCTAGCAATTAAAGACCTCGCTCCCTTTGTAACTCTGGCACCAGCTGCCGTACACGCGACACTATATAGAGGCGATTATTTTCATTGCGATGACTTCTTGAAGGCGACTAGATTGTGTGTCGTCGCTGCTGAAACACCCAATGCTCCCTGTTGCCATCAGTCGAGATGCTACTTCCAAGGCCTTAGATTACTTCTCGGCGTGTTTTTGTCTCGTTTTGCCTGTTTATAGCTGAACGATAATGGTCGGCGCACTTCTTCGCGGTCTGGTCGTTTCAATGTCGAGGATTGGCTCGCCTTGATCGCGAAAAGCTGTACACAAGGTCTCGGTCAAGTTTGTGTGCTTTCGCTGCTTAGAAACGGCTTCTGCAATTACCCCTTCGGAACGGCAGCTGCATGTGCGCGTAAAAAATCAACACTTTGAAAAGATGGCTCCCTTGCGATAATTAGAATGTCAACCTACAGCAAACCGAAGGAAACTTCGTCACACATATACTGTCATGCTAGTTTATCCGCTGAAAAATGTACAAAAATTACGGCAGCAATGCCATTATTTACAGTAGTAGTTTTTAAAAGCCATAAATCAGGAAAATGATGTCATGATAATGAATAAAGAGATATTAGGCAGAAATTCGATATTCATGTAGTGCATATTCTTTTGTGTACTGCTATACAAGCGTCATTCGGAAAGAGTAAGGGAAAAGTATTCCAGCGACACTATTACACCGTGATATGTCCACATGATAAAATAATGAACACGTTAATAAGTAACCAAAAATTACCCCATTTCCCGCTCAAGGAGCCCATGACTGAAAGCAAAGCTGCACGATTGGTGCACACCGCGCGAATGAGGGCTACCAACGGCTACGCAGTAACTACAAACAAAGCAGACGCGCTCTGTCTTACCAAAACGTGAACCGCGTTCCACGGGGAACTTAGGAGGGGGGAACGAAGAGGAGAAAGAGAGGGGCAGGTGGATGTACATGCGCAGTGAAGGTGTGGATGCGGAGCTGCTGAGGTGTTTCGTTGCCTTCTCCGGCGACTCAGAAGAGAGGAGGGAACGTAGGAGAGGAGCAAGAGCGGGAGGAGGGTGCGCATAAGCGCTGTAAGGGTGGTCACGTGTCCTTCCTTTTCCTTGCGCTCACGTGAGAGGGGGGCTGACATTCAACGGCTACTAACAACGCAGACATGCTCCGTGTCAAGAAAAAGTGGAACGCGTTTCCACGGTAAGCGTAGGAGTGGGGAGCGTAGGACAGGAGAGAGGGGGGCAGTGGGCACATGCGTAGTGGAGGTGCGGGCGCCGCACAGCAAAGGAGGCATTTCGTTGCCTTCGTCGGTGACTCGGAAGAGAGGGGAAGTGTAGGAGCGGAAGGGGCACATGCGCTCCAAGGGTGGTCACGCCGCACACCCGATTCAACTCCACCCTAAGACGCTTCACATCTAAAAGTCATACAATATAAATAAAAAGGAGAAAACTCAAACAAAGTATCAACATAACAGTCGAGTGAACTGTGACTAGTTCATTGTTAACTGGCGACTTCAAAAACATTGACTTCAATTGTAATAACATTCGCAGTAAAGAAAGGGAAGTGTCTATTTCAGTTATGTCTATTGCAGTCCTGTTTCACTTCGTTTCAGTTGGCTATTTGATTTCTTGACCTTCTGTTTTAAGGTAACCATAGTTCTTGCTGCATAACATATAAAAAAGAAGCAGCCAATGTGCTATATAATACACCTCAGTCTTCCCATAGCAATAATTAATCATAGAAAAGAACAGATCATCATCATCATCAGCAGCAGCAGCAGCAGCAGCCTGACTACGCCCACTGAAGGGCAAAAGCCTCTTCTATGACCAACCAATCATTCCGGTCTTGTGCTTTTGGCCGCACCGTTATCCCCACGATCTTTTAGGAGAGAAGTTTTTTATTGTCTAGGACAATCCTTCGTTCCTCCGGCGTACCGATTAGCGTTTGTTATCATACAATAGATGGCACTGTCCCATAGAAATGCATGCCAAACAGTCGGGTGACGATATTTTAGATGGCGCTGTACGCATTCTGTGCCGTCATCGCCATTTCTCGTCCAGTTTTATAGATGACGCAGTCCCATAGAGATGTGTGCAAATGGTGGTTAGGTCGATAGACACTAGATGGCATTCGATGCGCCACTACTTTCCAATTAGCTGCTGTGCGGTATGCGCGGGGCAGCGCCGGAGTGCCCATTATCTCTCGTTCTCCTTGATCGTCGCCGTACGTGTCGGATCGTGCTTGGTGGCTCGAGAGGCTGCCGTCAAGCGAGTGCGGTGCCGGGCAGATCCCGATACTGTGCACGCCAAGGAACCAGCTGCGAAACGGGCTCAACAAGAAACGGACCCTGGAATGCGAGAGCGAGAAGCGGTGGTGAAACGCACGCGGCGCCGGGTAAGCCAGGATGCTGTTCCTCGGAGGGCTCACGGTATCATCGAGAAACCTCCACAGCTTCGACCACCTCACCATCATCCACTCAGTGGAAATAATCTCATCGGCCCACCTAACTTTCTGTCTGCCCTTCGTGCATTTTCCCTTTTCACGAAATCAAGTCAGTTGCCCTCAATTTCTAGCGGTCATCCTGCCTACGTGCTACGTGCCCGGCCCATGTTCATTTCTTCTTCTTGATTTCAACTATGACACCCTTAGCCCCTGTTTTGAGGCGAATTCAGCAAGTTTCCGGCCTCTGGAATCAATCTTTGTGCTTCCCCGAAGCAAGTGATGAGCATTGAAATCACCAATCACAATCCAAGGTCCAGGTGTAGCAGTCAAGATGTCATGTAGTCTTTCACCATCGAACTGACCAAATGGTGAGATGTATGCGCCGATAAGCGTGAAGGCTACCATCTTCTTTGCAACGCGGAGGCATACGTATTGATTTCCGTTATGTGGTTACATCAAATGTGGAATGTAGGTTAAATCTGTGCGGATATATATAATTACTTTGCTGGGCTCACCCCAAGTTGATGAAGTGAAGGCTTCGTAGCCAGAAAGCTTTATCGCTTTTGACATATTAGGTTCACATATAACTAATATAGGAAATCTGTTGTGGAAACGTAATGTCGAAAACATGAGATCCATGATTTAAGTCCTCTGGCATTCCACTGTAAAACTGTCGCACTACGTACTTCGTCTCGGAATGAAGGCAGTGAAGGAGCCATTTTGTCTATGCGAAGTTGGCAAGCACTGGACTCAGGGCATCCAATACTTGCACTGCGCCTCGTGCTGTAGGCGTGTTCGTGTTGCCTATAAGCGTGCGAATGGCATTGATGAGAGACTTGATCATCGTCAAAATTTCTTGGTCACGCTCTGTCACCTCATCTTGGCGAGACGCAGAAAGTGGTTCTACCGGTGCACGTTCCAGTTTTTCTGCAGGGATT